TGATTCCGCACCAGAGGAATACAAGAAACTTGCCGAGTGGTGTTGTGATGCTGATCCTGATAAGCGTCCTGATGCATATACACTTTGGCGTGATATTAACAGGCTTGTTTGCAAAGTGAAAAGCGACAGCACGTGGGATTTCGTTTATTATAATGACGTAAAGCCTTTATCACGTCTCGAAAAGGAGAGCAAATACTCTAGTAAGCTCTTGCCTACGGGAGAATTACCTGAACCTAGATAGCTACGATTTGGATTCAGTTGCAGAAATAAACAAAGTCAATTTACAACGTTAACACCCGTTTATTTAGAGTCTCAGACTCGTTGAAGAAACTCGTAACTTACGGAATATTTATAGTCAGAGGTTTACTCCGCTTCCGTAATGGTTAACAAGATTCTGAAATAAATCGTTCATATTTATTATTATTATCACCACCCAGATCTTCGAAATTTATTACCAAAAACTAAGTAAATTACTAAAAGACCTACACGTTAGAAATAAACACCTAATTTTTCTCTTGGAACCAGAATGTTTGTGTCTTCATGGGCTTCTCGCAACCGTTGTCTGAGGTAGGCAATATTTGACTCCGCCCGTCGAATTTGTTCATCTGGTTGGAGGTCTGCGTTGATTCCGGTATTCGTAGTGTAAGGCGGTCTTGGTTCACGAACTAGTCGCTCTACAGTCAGTCGCTTTGTTCTTTCCGTTTTTCGGGCCTGTTCCAGTTCTTCCTGTAATTTGTTGATGAGCTGTTGTTGCTGTCGTTCCGTCCATTGTACCAATTCTGTGGCAAATTGCAGGCGTTCACGAGTGCATTATTGTTAACGTAGCAATCCTGCTCCAATCCGTTCCGTTCTTTCCGGATTTCTTCTGCTTTTCCTAGGACCTGCATAGTAAGCTTTGCTCTTTTTGTTCCCTTTGTTCTACTGCTTCCAAAGCGTCTGACCAACTTTGGGGTTTGACTTCATTTTTCTGGTGTTCATATCCTCGATTTCGGTTCGCATTTTTTCCTTGTCGAGGCTCTTTCCATTTCCTAGGGTACATTTCTTTCAATCATAGTCAAATAATTACGAATTACCGTTGTCTTTCCTTTTACTTTGGCCAGAAATTCGTTGGTCCACTGTATTCCATTTATTTCTGAGATCCAGCTTATGGTGATAAAGTAGGCAATATGTCCGTTTTCGTGTCTATCTTCGGATACAACTGCAGTTTTACAGGTGTCACATCGTATATTATTTTCAATTATTTCCAGTTGCCGGTAGTGCCTTTTTCTTCGTCAGTCGAGTGGCTTTTTGCCCGTACGGTTTAGTTCCGACTATTGTTAAATTCGTTATGTGAAGGTGGTTGTTGTGTGGTCGTCAAAGGTTAACTTCCTTCTTGGCGGTGGTGTCGGTGTATGCTGTTGTAGGTTTTTGCTGAGCTCCTTAATCGTGATGCGCATACTAGACTTATCTACTTTGTGAATTTATGCTAATCGTTCGTGAATACGATGCCTAGCTATATTCGAGCTTGATTCACTGGAGGTGAAGCTTTCGATGATGCCCGCTTTCTGACATTGTTTTCATATCTTTTCACATAGCGGCCAATTCTCATCACTTATATCCTCGAAATCTATCGCCATTTTTCCATGATACTGCTGCATAGTCTTGACGGCTCGTAACGATAAAAGTGAGCACGGCATAAAACTTGCCATACAGTGTGTCAAAAACTGACCCGTTCACATAAACCGAGCGAATAGTGTTTGATTGTCCCATTTTCATTCCGCTGTCTAATTGTTAGTATCACCAAGCTTGTCGCTGGCAATAACTCGAGAACACGTCTGTTTAAGACGGGTGGTGCTTGAAGATGAGGAATATCGTCTTCCAAACGGGTATTATAATACTGTGCCCTGAGCAGATATTAGCCAATTACATCCGTAATCCGATAATTCGTTCGATTGCAGAAGCATTTTTTTGGTTATTTTCTTCGTACATATGCGAGTAGACTCCTGCACCAACCCGTCCTAAATTGAATAAATAAATAGTATTACACTTAGTATAATAGTATAACAGAGTTCAATTTGTATTAACGAAAAGGTCAAAACGCAAGGTGAAATTGAATTGTACATGTCATACCGAAGGCTACAAGCATATCACCAAACATATTTGCAGTGTGCTTCCATCTGGGAGGCGGAGGTTTACCGTATCTGGTAAAGTCCATGATAAAGATGTCGTATTCAACACGTCGACATCTTCAATTGTCGTCCCACCATATAATACAATTGTATCCTTCTATACTATTATTAATGACACGTATTAGTTTATATCAATATATGGAAACGTTCGTCGGTACATAATATTATGTTAATTGTCAATACGACTCACATAAAGAGTAAGTTTTATGTGAAAAAAAGACCAAGTTTA